AATTTTCTGAATAGCAGTCAAATGCCTTAGGCATTACACCACATTAGTACTCCCTCTTATGGTTGATAAAGGAACTCTGGTGGCGTAGTGCCTAAGGCATTTGACTTCTAAACCAGAGGCTGGTGGTTCAAACCCACCAGCTGCTCCTCGGAAGGAAGGTTGGGCAATCTACTTTCATAGCGATACTGCCTCGGAAACCTAAGGAAGGGTCACTATGAGTCAGATCCAACTCGACAGCAGTGAATTTGGTTTTAGTTTTGGTGGCATAGTGGCTAAGGCATTTAAACTTTAGTCAGAAGGTTGGCAGTTCAAACCCACCAGCCTCTCTGTGGAAGGAAGACAGGGCAATCTACTTCCTCAAAGCTTTACTGTCTCAGAAACCCAGTGGGGTCTCTATGAGTCAGACTTGACTAGATGGCAGTGAGTTTGGTTTGGTTTTAGAGTTTATGGTTAGTAATGTCCCTGATTGGCACAAATGGTTTGCTCTTGGCTACTAACCATAGGGAGGCAAACTTGTCTGTTGGTTTGTCCTACCATGGTAATGTGTTGATGTGTTTTGAGGCTGAGCCACTGGAGTTTCTAACCCAGCGGGATGATACATCCCAGCATACAGACTGACACAGACTAGGAAGAAGGAAGAGGCCATTCACTTCTCAAATAATTGGCCAGGGAAAACCTTATGAATAGCAAAGAAACACTGTTTGATACATTACCACACAACTTTATGAATAGTCTGGTTAGTTTAGAAGGCTCTCAAAATAGGACTGGGAAAGAGCTGCATCATCTGAGTAAAACCCAGCCTTACTCCTATGGACAAGGTAAAGCTTTCGAGACCTCCATTTGCTGATGTGGCACCACTCAAATTGAAGAGAAACAGCTGCAGATAGCCATTAATCATCGGAACATGGAATGTATGAAGTATGAATCTAGGAAAATTGGAAGTTGTCAAAAAGGAAATGGAACACATGAAGATTGATATCCTGGGCACTATGAGCTGAAATGGACTGGTTTTGCCATTTTGAATCAGACAACCATGTGACCTACTATGCTAGGAATGACAGTTTGAAAAGGAATGGCATGGCATTCATCATCACAAAGGATGTTTCAAGATCTGTCCTGAAGTACAATGCTGTCAGTGATA